AAATGATCATATTCATAATTTATAATGAAATACATATATAATTTTAACGTTGTCAATGTATTCTCCAAAACATATCACTTGTCGGAATCTATTCAATAAGCTATAGCCTATTATTAATTTGTAATCCAGTTTTCTTTGTTCAGTGTGACTTTTATTTTTACTAAAGTGTGCTTAACTACTTAGAACTTTCAAAAAATTTGACAAATCATCAAAATTCAGTTAAACTAGAATTCAGACTCTTATCTTAATGTAGATGAATAAATTGGTAGCATGTGATTGAAAATAAAATTGTTTCTTCCCAAAAGTTTCAATCTAATTGTTTATTTATAGCATGTATGATTGAACAAAAAGAAAACAAAGTTAAAATTGATTTAAATTTTTTTATGGATCCATGTTTCGTCAGTTTAAGGTGAGTTGGTTGGGATATGTGTTAATCATGATCAATAGCTACCTGACTCAATGGACAGTGTTATCTAGTGCAGGTGTCGTCTAGTGGAAATCTAGGGACGACCAAACAAAAATATAATATCAGTTAAAGAAGACGCTGATAATTGAACTGAGCTATATTGATAGGTATAGACTAACTGGTTGGAGTCCGTGTAGTTATCGTATCAAATGATTTGAAACCTTGAATGATTTGGTTGGGAACTGTTTGCTGTGGCTCAGATGCATTCGTTCACTGTCCTATCCCAAGTTATAAGCTTCTGAACTGTTCGTAAATTTTAATTTCGCTCATACTTTCTTGAACTGTATCTTCGACGAATAATCTTCCCTATTACTCCTGATACTGTTATTATTTCTGTGGTGTGGGCTACTTATGTCGACAGACATAAATAGTATATAACACCTATCGAAAGTTGAATTCCTGACAGAGGAAGGCTAGGAAGATCGAGCTGAAGAAATTAGAAAGGGAAATAGAGAAGAATTGTGGATCGGAAGAATCATATACAATGTAAAGAACAATTAATGGAAGATTTTCAAATGAAGCATTTATTGTATAGTTCTCATATTTTATCATGATATTCTGTATTTTTTAATGAAATAATAAATTGGTTTTCCCCACCTGAGTCTCATGTTCGTTCATTACACTTAGAATACTTTCATGTTTGGCTTGACAGTGTAATCTCTCTGAGCTGATAGGGTATAGAAACTTGAATTGATGTACGTACGCACCAGTTTCTACGTCTCGAGTGACTGACATTTTATGTGATTCTTCTAGTGATATCTTTTTTTGTGACGGAAACTGTTCAAATTCCGAATAACAACAATGGAAGGATTCTTCTGTCGGTTCCAAGTCCGATTAAATAACTACTAATAATGTTACTAATCAAACAGTATGTGATATTTCCAGTTTGATTTTTATCCTCATTTAGTAATTCACTTTAATCGCCTCATTATGTTATGATAAAAATCTTTTTTGTTACTAACAACCTCCTTATAAGATTTATAGGTCACTTTTCTAATTATTTGCGTAATTTTTGTATCAACTAAAAAAGAACATTTTCCAGATTATTTATGTTTCATATAACATTTTGAAATTACAAAAACCAAAACAGAACAAATGTACACTTTCCTTTTACATCTTACAACGAAACATTCTACAGTAACATATGAGTCTTTAGTTCAATGTTTTAGGCAGTTGATATAAATGACATCTTCATATTCAGGCAATAGAATTCAGCTGAATTATTTAATTTATTGATTGACCTAGTCGATAACTTGGATTCTTAAACATGTTTCTAATAAAAAAGTTGTACAGATACAAATCTTCTTTTAAAAAAAGCTCATTTTATTTAGTCCCAGGTAGTTTATCCACTTAATTTATGTATATATGTGTATCCTTATCAGTTTCTCTCCCTTATTTTCTTTTTCTTTTTTGAAAAATCGAAACTTGTTGAAATACCTTGAACTGAGAATTCTTCATTGTATTTAAAGCATAATATTGAATAAAACCATTAATAAAAATAATATATATATCTTAATATGGATTGAAGCTGAGAGAAAAATATTTTTGACAAATACATTAAATACATTGACCGAAAAGAACTCATTTAAGTGTGAATTCAACCTATAAATTAAGATTGATGAACAAAGTCTAATCTCTAAAATACATTTTTAATGATGATCTACGATTACAAGTGGGCGGTTGCGCAATATCGTGAATTGGTTGGATTTAGACATAAACACCGTTGGGAGACGACTCAGTGATCTGCAGTTTAATAGTTTGCATGCGAGACCGAAGGTTCTGAGTTGAAGATTCGCGTGCGAGATCGTGGATGTACACTTCTGAGGAGTCTCATACTAGGATGAAAAGATCATTCAGTGCTTCCACGTTTTTTTAATATTGATCCATTCATAATATCAATCCAAATTTAACAATTGTACAAAATAAGATAAATTCTTTTCCCAATAAAAAAAACAATGAAATATTCTAACAAATAATTTTAAAATACTATTCAATATGACATCAAGGAAAAAAACAGGAAAAATTAGTTTGGTTTCAAAAAGATAACATTAGTCACTTATCTATCATAAGTATTCATAACGTTTAGTGAAAATATCTATCGTCAATTTAAGTGGCCAGTTTTATTATTGTATCATTAATCTAATCTCAGTTCTCTATCATATATTATTAATTATAAGTGAATATTTTATTCTTCATTTATAGTTTTGCTCATTTCAATGAATAAAGAGTATTTCTGAGTTAGTTAACTAACGCTTAATGACTTAATAAGAAAAAATTTAAGTACTATGAATATTTTGAGATTATGAATAAATTGAAGCTAAGCCACCATGGAAAAGCTGGATGCACTGGAAAGCCGTTCCGTCCTATTTTGGGACTCCTCAGCAGTGCACATCAACAACCCCTCCTGCCTGATTGGAACTCAGGACCTATCAGTCTCGCTCCAGAGTGCTTAACCACTAGACCATTGAGTCTGCATCCAACGATGGTAATGTCTAACTTCGACCGATCCACAAAATCGAGAGACACAACCACCATTGTCTTCAGTGAGTTACTATCTCACAACAGGCCTGGTTGAACTCCACTGGTCACTTCATGATTCATAATCGCAACTATTAAAATAAATATGATATCCACAAAACCTTTCTGATATTATGAATATGTTTTCAAATAGCCCTTCATATAAATCATTTGAATGTTAGAATATTCACTGAAACATATATATATATATATTCAGTTAGAAGTAACAATTACATTAAATATACATATAGGATACGGTTTAATTTGAAATTCACTTTAAATAGGTTACTGATATAAATCAAATTAGATCAATTTTCAGTTTTAAAAATTTATATTCTTCCTAACTACTTCATCAGGATGTGTATAACAAATTAACATATCATCGCGAAATCAACTGAAATAGCAATATGTAAAAAATATAACTCATAACACCAACATAACCCTCTTTCTGATTCATTGTTCGTCATCAGAATATATCAGAATAAGAGATTATAAACAAGTTTATTATAAAGTAGATGTCCAAATACTTTTATCAATTTTAAATTCAATTTGTATTGTTTGTTTGAACCTTCCCATTGATGTTTAGGACTGCATCTGGTCAGTCTCTAACTGTCAAATGTGCATACTATGCGATTTGCCTCGATATAGCCTTAATTCACAAGCATTGTAAGCAAAGATGGATGGTTCCTAGCTGTGGAATCCAGGACGCGCTTTTCGTCCTATTTGGGACTCTTTAGCTGGATGTACCTGTAGCTCACAGTTGATGTTCACTCTGGGACTGAATAATTGCAATTCTAAACGTCAATGAGAGGATTCAAACAAACAATACAAAATTAATTTAACATAACCGTATTGCAAAAGCTAGTGGTTGTCACGACTCAGTAGTTAAGTGGATAACGTGATGGCACTTGAGGCAGACAATACTGGGTTCGAGTCTTGGAGTGAACATCAACACTGGGATGCAGGTAAATCCAGCTGACGAGTTCGAAATAGGACGAAACTTACGTCCTAGATTCGGCTGCTAGGCACTATTCATCTTTGCTTACGATTTTATGAATTTTGTTTTATTTACCCTTAAAACTGATATTATAAAATGAATAGAATATGTATTTGTTCTGATTTAGATTCATTCTTAGCGTTAATTCAGTTATATAATCATTAATGTATTTAAAGTATAAATAAATTTCATCTATGCTTTTTTTAACAATATAAGTACAACGATTATTACGGTATCTTATCAAACTAAGATGAAAGAGTATTATAACGTTATAACAACTACATACATGTTTTTAATTACAACTGCCAATCATATTTTAACACAATTCTACGCTTATTTACAATGTACAATAGTTTAGTACCAACATATTACTTTAATTTAATCAAATATTTTCTTGGCTAGATGTAATAATTCCCTTTTATATTATGTAACTTTTACCTTCTAACATATACTAACGTAGATATTTGTTTTGAAAAAGGTAAACTTAAAAACACTATGGAATTATCGTATTTTTTTAAAAACCGCTTATTACGCAATTACGGGGGGATATGTAAAATTTGTGTTAAACAAGAAAAGCCTTTAAAAATACAACTATGAAATGAGTTATTGCCTATTTTTACATTTGATTACTATGAATACAATGAACATTGGGTAGATTGTTATAAATACATTATTATATTCTTAATATCCCAATGAGTAGAAAAATTAGGTTTTCTGACGTTTCCTGACTCAGTGTAAGCCACTTCTTCAGAGAATATTTTATTTATCTAATTTTTCTACTCATTGGGATATTACAAACATATTAATATTTCAAGAACTTATGTAATAGACAGTAAAGTTATACTATCTAGTAGTCAAATGCTCAATTTGAACAGATCATATAACATTTATTTACTTTTTGCTTCATGGAAAAACAGATCTTTTACTTTGAGATAGTGAATTATTAGACTTAAAAGTTGTTTCTATTGATATAAACGAAACTAATGGTCGACATCTGTCTGATTCTTTTTTATTTTGTAGATGAATCTCCGACTACACTCATTTTATCACGATTAGAGGTAAGTATTGTGTTGTGTTTTTCGAGCGAAAATTTTATAACCTGTTTCTTTCTGTTTCATGTTTATTATTTACTTCAACATGTATTTTTAATATTTGTATTGAAAATAAAATAAGATCTAGGAGGCGCATTTCATTCTGTATAGTACAAAGCAACTAGATGTACTCTGATCTCAGTGTTGATGTCCACCATCAGTTATAAACTCAACATATCTTACATGAAAGCTCAAAATATTATTCACTAAAAATAACTATGTTCAGATGAACACTATGTATGACAAGGAGAAACGCCAGCAACTTGAGATTATTTGTTTGTCTTGGATGAAATGATGATGTATAAAACGTTTTACATTTAATCTCTAAAAGTATTATTCACCAAAAATAAACAAGTTCACATGAACACTACTATGTGAAACAGGTGTGAAGTTATTTGTAACATTCCATATTTCTATCTTGTTTGTTTATATCTAACACTGGAATTGGTAAGTCAATTTCCGAATACGTGTATCATGATCAAACTGCCCTCATTTTCCCTTCAGCTTGGTTTCTGGGAATAGCATACAGATCTACATGTTTTGCATTGAATCATATTGAATGTGAGATACTTATCTACCACTGACTAAACGTTTTTTCATAGTTGAAATCATGAGTTAATTGAAGCTAGACCACCATGGAAAACCTGGAAGCACTCAGCAGCCGTTCCGTCCAATTTTGGGACTCCTCAACAGCGCGCATTCACTAATCCGCTATGCAAGATTCAAACCCAGGACCTCTCAGTCTAGCGCACGAGCGCTTAACCAGTAGGACGAAACGGCCATCCAGTGCTTCCAGGTTTTCCATGGTGGTCTAGCTTCAATTGACTCATGATTTCAACTATGTAAAATTACTAAAATATCTACAAAACCACCTTCTGAAAACAATACAATTTAATAAAACGTTAAAAACACTGAATACCTATCTATAGAAACCTGATCTATGTTAGAAATGAATAAATAAAAGAATGTTTATTTTATGATAAAGGAACAAAATTAGATTCTGAAAGTATTCAGATTTCTGGAATCAATTCAGTCTACTTAAATATAATGAATAGAACTTAATTTTATTGTACAAAAAGTTTTATTTTCCAACAATAATATAGCAACTATTCATTCTCATTAGAATTTTATTAATGAAATGAGGTGAAGTGAGTTCGGTTTGATTTATATTGACAGAAGTAGGACAATTAAACTTGGCATTTAATATACTTGATTAAATTGTCATGTTCATTCTATTAAGTTGTTTTTTTTTAAATTGTATTATACATTATGTTTTGTGTTCTTATTGTATAAAGTGAGTTTCATATGTTCTTGAAGGCTGAAATCAATTTTATTTTTTAGCAATGAATGTTGATTGTGTTTTGTGACCAATAAAATCATTTCATCAGATTTACAGATCAAACGTTTGCAGCACTATTTGTGAGAACCTTTCAAGAATGAAACAACAAAGAGGGTAGATTTTAGTTAAACCCCATTGTCAGTTAGATCAGAGATTTATATTTTAAAATTAATATTCTAGTCTACCGTAATATCCTTTTACACAACAGAACATTAATTTTTAAAGCATCATCCACTGATTGTAATATAAAGCAAGATGTCGTTACTAACTTAAGACAAATGTTTTATAATATTATTATTTGCCAACTGATGACGTGATAAACAGTATGATGATTATTTCGAATCAATGAACGGTATTTTTCACCAACCTAATCGGTTGATATTAGACACTGACACCGTTGAATGAAGACTTAGTGTTCTAGAAGTTAAGCGTTCGTGAGCGAGACCGAAAGTTCTGTGTTCAAATCCTTCCGGCGGGATCGTGGATGTGCACTGCTGAGGAGTGAAATACAAGAACCAAATGGCCATCCAGTGCTTCCTGGTTTCCAGTAGTAGTCTATGAATAATCGTTTTATGATTTCATATAAATTAAAGCCATTTAGTTCAACATACATTTATTTATACGTTCGAAATGATTTCAATTATATTTCATTGAGAAACAAAGACATATATCATTAAGACTGATAAGCTATTTAGACAGCAATAAACTTATAGACACAGATATATTTTAAGTGTACTTATTATCAGATATAGGATAACCAACAGTTTAGTTGTTAGAATCCCTTAATAACACAAAGTTATTCGTACGGTTAGAAAAGAATGCTCTTATATTTTGTGTTAATAAAAATGAAATAGAAATACTGTCGCTTGTTGTAAATAATGTTCTACATATTTATTATTTTCATTCTGAATGAAATGTCTACTTTTGTACACTTTAACGAGTAACCATTTTCCAAACCACCTTTTTATATACTATTCTCCAAATCTAACTTAGTATTGTTTGTTTGAATATCCCCATCGATTTGTTAGGACTGCAACTGGTCAGTCTCTAATTGGTATATGTGCATACTGTGCGTATTGTCTCCATATACCTTAATTCACAAGCATGGTCTCAAATAGGACGAAACGCGCGTCCTGGATTCCACTGCTAGCCACTATCCATCTCTCCTAACCATGCTTGTGAATTAAGGCTATGACGAGGTAATACGCACAGTATGCACACATGACAATAAGTGACTGACCAGATGCAGTCCTAATCATCAATGGGAAGATTCAAACAAACAAGACTAAGTGAATATAAACTTCACCCCATCACACAAGCAAGTGGCTATCAAGACTCAGTAGCTAAGTGGATAACGCGATGGCGTTTGAAGCGAGGGTACTGGGTTCGAGTCCCAGAGTGATGCAGGTACATCCAGTTGATGAGTCCCGCATAGGACGAAACGCGCTCCCTGGATTCCACTGCTAGACATTATCCATCTCTGCTAACTATTCTCCAAATCGTTTTATTTTTTGAATAGTTACATTAAAAGTACAAATATGTTTTCATTTTACAGTGAACTTGGTAATAAAGTTATGATTGAAGCAGTTATCTACACCATTTGTAACCTCTATCATGTTAACAATATTTTGTTATTGTGATTGATGTTCAATTTCAAACTTATTGCCATCTAATTATGTACAACTGAAGTTGTTTTATATTATTATTGATAAATACATATATAATTGGAGATAATTATGATATGTATATACATGATATATAAATAAAAGATCACTTATTATGAATGCTTGAAAGATGCCAAAACAGTTATTTGGATACAATTAAATGACTTGGATTTTCAATAATCAGATATAATTGCTCTAATTTATGTGAACGAATTTTTTTATACATATGCAACTAGGAATATCTTCAATAGTTCAGCATGGTATAATAATTTTATTCTGTGAAAATTATATTTGAAATAATCTCAGCAATTTAAATTTAAATAATTCCGACGTTTCGTCCAGCAAACTTGTTTGGACGTCTTCAGAGTAAGTTCACACCAGTTTGATGAAACGAATTTCAATCGCTGAGATAATTTCAAATATAATTTTCATATTTAATGACTTCTATGTACTTGATGCCCAATTATTGTAAAACGATTCGTTCTAATATTGATGATTATTCGTATAAATTATTTTTCAACTTTTATTAACTTATATGGGTACATGGGTACATTTCATGGATTAACTTGGAGGAATGAACATACTAATTATGATAAGATTATATGAAACTCGATAACCATTCATTCCAAGAAAAAAATTCTATCTTGAAACTTGGTTTGCTCGCTTTCTATACGTTTAAACAGGCTGAATGTTATTTTATTGATTTATGGGAGATATAGTATGGTCAAAAGTTTATGACTATTGTAATCATTTTTAAAATGAAACTTTTAATAGTGATTACAGATTATGTGATTATTCATTGGTAATATAACATATTATATCATTTGTGAAAGTGAAACTATAAATCAGGTAATACTAATTTATTTTGAAAACCAAGATTTGTAGGGTATCAAACATATTCATAATCTTTTTTTCAATTTCAGAAATGTCCACTGTAATTGAAATTATCTATTTTAAACTACTATATTTGAACGTTTTTATTAGTAAAACTTAAGTCATAATCAAAGTAATGTTTGTAAAAGCTCATTTTGTATTGTTCGTTTTGATCTTTCTACTAAAATTAAAGACTGCAATTCACCAATCTCTTGTTAGCATATGTACATCCTTTGCGTAATGTATCCATATGGCCTTAATTCAAAAGTATTATAAGCAAAGATGGATTGTACCTAGCAGCAGAATCTACGATGTACGTTTCGTCCTATTTCGAACCTTTCAGCTGGATGTACCTGCATCCCAGTGTTGATGTTCACTCCAAAACTCGAACCCATTACCGTTTGCTTCAAACGCCATCACGTTATCCACTTAACTACTGAGTCGTGATAACCACTAGCTTTTGCAATAAGGTTAAGTTAAATTAATTTTGTATTGTTTGTTTGAATCTTCCAATTGATGTTTAGGACAGCAATCGATCAGTCCCAGAGTGAACATCAACTCTAATATGCAGGTGCATTCAGCTGATTGGTCTCAAATAAGACAAAACCGCGACGTGAATTCCACAACTAGGAATCATCCATCTTTACTTGTAATGTTTGTAAAATCTGTTAAGAAGATGTAAAGAACTTCTGTAACTTTCTTTTATTCGCTTCATTCTGAATGATAAAGATTAGGAGAATATGCTCATATGCTCACTAGTGACTGACTCCATGAGGTATTTCCTGGAGTTCTTGTGAAAAGCAGTAACCATTGGAGTTCAACAAGGTCTGTTCATGTGTGTCGTGGATGTGTCGTTCAATTTCGTGGATTGGTTGAAGTTAGACATTAACACCGTTGAATGCCGGTTCAGTGGTCTAGTGGTTAAGCGCTCGCATGCGAGACTGATATGTCCTGGGTAAGAATCTCGCCAGGCGGGATGCGCACTTCTGAGGAGTCCCACAATAGCAGGAAACGGTCGTTCAGTGCTTCCAGGTTTTCGATGGTCGTCTAGCTTTAATCGAATCATGATCTCAACTATATAGAATATTTAT